TGACTCGCGCAGCTGCAGAAACCTCACCCCCACCGTCCCACAGCAGCCCAGCCCTCGTCTGCAGATTCAGTTCACCTCAGCTCAAGGGGGAAACACGATAATGAAAAAGAACATTTGCAAACAAGAACGAATTATTGCAATATCATCTTCATTAGATACTTTTACGAAACTGAAATATCGGCGAGAAAGCCATGTGCAGCGATAGGATTTATAATGACTTGTAGAGGAAGGGACAGAGACAAGTTTGGCTTCTGTGGCCCTCGCTACTCCCCAGCAGCGGGAAGGGGCTGGGCCAAGGGGATGTAATGTTGTAAATACACCCGTATCTGCCTCCCTCCATTTCCGTTCAGGGTATTGGTCATTCTAGTCCCGTATTAACTCCTGGCATAACGGCATCTTCCAGATTGCTAAATAAGCACAAGTTCCAATAGATAAAAAAAAAAAACCCAACAAAAAACCAAAACAAAAATAAACTTGAAACAGATTGAAAAACTGTGCACCTTGTATTTTTTAGGATTTTTTTAGACAGAACTCAAGACAACAAAACATGTACTGTAAATAGTAGGCACCATAATCAATATGAGCCACCAATATTTAAACTTGATTCAGGCCACATCCAGAATTTTTCTCTTATTTACAAATATTTAACTTAAATACAACATTAAGTATTTCATTACATACAAAGTAAGAAAAGAATACTATACAGCTGGGAAAGATACAGTGTTTCATTTAAATAGTTACACTAGGTATAAGCTGAGCAGTACCAGTTTGGTTCATGTTTTTATGACGCCTTCAAGAAAATCCTTCTCGACCATTTCTTCTATCTTTTGCCTCGCTTTACTGGAGAAGGTCTTAAGGTTCTCCATTTTTATGTCCTTACTCGGAAAACAGTTGGGGTAAAGGACGGGGCTCCCTGAGTGTCCAACGCACCTGCTTGTGACTTTGCTGTTGAAAACCTGGCTGAGTACATTGAAGAAAGGCAAAAGCTGCTCAATGCTGCGAACGGTGTAGATGGTTAAAAGCAAGTGACCTGGTTCCCAACTGAGTGTTTTCCCTGAGCTGTCCTCCTCTGGGTTTTTCTGTAAATACAGAGACATGAGAGATAATACAGGGTGAAACGGAGAAAGCACAGGTAAAAATGAGACACTAATGCCCAATAAAGTATTTTTCTATATTCCAAAAAATACTTGTCCTATCATCAAAATACACGTGCTGGAGTGCAGCTTTCCAAGCCGATCTCCTGCTCCTCTCCTCACTCCCCCTTGCTGCAGAGGTGGCTGGCAGTGCCCAGGCCAACAGGGAAGCTGCCGTGGGTGTTTGAGCCCCCCGCCTCAGCCCCGGGCTGCCAGGCAGCCCCACAGAGCTGCTCCTGGTGCGGTGTCCGGCTGGCTGACAGCAACAGCCCACGCTGGGGGCAACCAGCTCTGCAGCTGCCCGGGTAAGTCCTGTGCTGCTTCAGCTGCTCTCCCGGGTCAGCTGGTCTCCGACAACACTCCCGCTTCACCCGACAGCCAGCACGAGTGACAATAACCCCCTGAGGAAGTTAAAATAGAAACGAAGCATTTTCACTTTGAAGCTAGAGTTCAGTTTTCAGGAAGAGCAAAAATCTCTGCTGTCTTTAGTAGCAGAAATAACACACATGGAGGCTCCGAGCAAATACTCGAAGTTGTCCTCAAAGGAAACCGGTTCAGTTACTCATTGCGTGTTCTCAGAAGACCTCGATTACACACCTTCCATTTCATGGGGGGAATTTCAAGGGACAGAATTTCAGGAACCCCACCAGCAAAGGCAGCAGGCACACACCAGATGCTGACAGGCAGTGTCAGTACCCTCCTGTGACCCTGTTCTGCGTTGCCTTAAATACCTGCACGCTAAAATACCTGAGCACCAGCCTCCAGCTGCTTGTGTGGTACTCCTCACTCATCTTCTTTTTTCCTTTGAGTCAAAAACTGTATTCAAATCTAGACAATGAGGTACTATCACCACCAGAAACACCTTGCTTGGACTGTTACGGACAAACCAGTATAGGAGAGCTTCTACCATGAAGTAGAGTTCCAGCAATACTGGTTTTTATTCCGTGAGAAAAGAAACACAAAGGCCACATCAAGGAGAGCCACCTCCTGATCCGCCTCTGACCCGTGTGTCCCCCCTGCGACCCGGCAGTGCCTCTGCCCAGGCCCCTGAGGGTGCGGGGGGCCGAGGCCCCCGAGGGTGCGGGGCTCCTGCAGAGCAGGCTCTGTCACGAAAGGAGAATGAAGGGGAAAGAGCAGCAGCGGGAACAGAGTGCAAGGTAAGGATCACTGATGGCGCAGCCTTCGAGCAAACAGATTCCCTTCAAGAGATGACACTTCAGCAAATACAGTTTCTGCCCTTTAAACGAAGCAACTGTCTCGCAGTTCAGGAGCCTACATGACACCCGTTTCACAAAAACCAATTAGATTAAATACGAACGTATTTATTATTTTCATTTGGCGGTTTGGCTCCTTGTCACAAGAGATTACTCTTCGAGCTCTACAAGTCTCAAGAAAAGAAAGGCTCGTAATGAACTAGAACAAAGGGAAGACTGAATTCCAACACCGCAAGAGTTGTTGATGCCTCCTACTTTCAAAGAGGCTAGTAGTTTTTAATGTTTCTCCTTTAAAAACTTCCCATTGGATCCACAGAAGAGAGCCATTTCCATCCTGGTTCTCTGGCGTGCTTAGCATTACCCAGCGGTGAGCACGGACTTCCTCCAGCACGCACCAAGTGTCAGTGTCACACAGCAGCCAACCAAGTGGGCGCACGTGCAAATACGACTTCTCTGAGCAATGAAATACAATCTGTCCAAGCCATTTCCTCACGGCAGTATCTGCTGAGCAAACACCACCAATTCCTCAGGTACTTAAAAGAGCAGCTGATTTGACAGAGACCGGTTAGGGATTGCGTGTTTCACACCTGCCGTTTGGCAAAAATTCTTTTGTTATTTAATTTTACAATGATTTGCGATCATAACTCTTAGAACTAACATTAACTTTTTGTAATCTATTTCACACAGGAAACCGACTTAAAAATAAATTTTACAGTTGTCTATGAAAATAAGGGCCCTCATCATTCTTCCACTTCAAAAATCTCTCAGCTTTGCCCTCTAACAAGGACTCAGTTCTTACTGAAAGCTAAATACTGCCCAGGGCCTCGAGGTGATGGTGTTATTAGATCTCTCTCAGTTCTTACTGAAAGCTAAATACCGCCCAGGGCCTCGAGGTGATGGTGTTATTACGGTGAGCCTGTTTCACAACTCAAGCATCAAAGGCCACCCTCACCTGATGCTTGGCCATCTCCATTCCCTCCAAAACCACCGTCTTAAAGTCCTCCTGTTTGTCCTGTGGAAGGAAAGAGGAGAACTTTCAGACTGCATTTCATATATCAAAAGCATACTTCGCCGTGAAGGCCGTGCAGTTGCTTGGTTGGGTGCTGTGCTTCAGCTAGAGAAGTCACCCGCCCCAAAGAGTCCGTGGTCCAGAAACGGCAAACTCTGGAGCCAGGGTGGCCAAGACACAACAGACAACAACAGCACTGCCAGTTTGTTCTGCTGGTTAGTACCAGGAGTGCCGAAGGAGGATCTTAAGCACGTTTCCTTCGTCTGAAACAGAGCCTGAGCAACACCATACTACATGAATCGGAGCATTAGTCAGAGTGCCCTGACGGAAAATTAAGATCCACTGGAACATTTTGCTCAGAAACAGTTCTTTTCTCAGAAAAACCCACAGCTACATGCAACAGTATTCTCCTCCGCACAAAGAAGAAATGGCCTGGAAGTCAGTGTTCGTTACCTCATATTTCTCTCGTCATCATACCCCTAGCTATGGTCCACAGTGTGCAACTGCTGCCGTGGCTAGGGGGTTCCAGAAATTCCAGGAAGTTGTCTATATTCTTGAAGCGTGCTGTGGAAGTCCTGACTTCAGGCATCTATCTCAACATACAGTGCTTACCAGCATGTATATTTTAGACATCATATGTAATTTATAATTCATGCAGAGACATTATTTGGAGTGTGACAACTTTCTAATGGGTATAGCACACTACACTGAACATCAGGGTTAGAGGCTATGCCTGATTAGCAGCCAGTTAAAACCGATTATTCCTTTATATACAGGAGAAGGGAAATTTAGTCTCATCTTCATGGTTCAAAAATGATAAAATGAAGAACGCGGATATGCTTCAGGTACCTGTTTTACCCCCCATAGTTGTGAGTCTTGCTTGAATAGTTCAGATCTGCCCGCAACTAAGTTATCCCTAAATTTTATGTAGCCACTTGTATGTCAGCAGTAGTTTCTTTACTCAGTGAAAACATTCATTAGCGATGGCTACAGTGGCTACAGCAAGCTGCCAGTGTTACAGCCCTCACAAGGCCATCTATGCGGGAGGGAAACCCAAGAACGAAACTTCAAAGCTTTCTCCTATATGGCTTTGAGCTTCCTCCCTGTTTCCCTGGCCCACCCAGCAACCCTTCCCAGTGAAGTGCCTGCTCAGGGGGGCTCTGTCCTCATCGCAGGAGCAGCAAAACATCTGACAGCAATTTTCTTACTTTGTGGCAGCAGAAGGGAACTCCCTGGGACAGGGCTCTGCCAGCTTCCATCAGCTTCACTGGCAGGTCAGGCCTCCACCCC